CAGAGACACAGCGAGAGAGGGAACACAAGCAGGGGGAGTGGGAGAGGGAGAAGCAGGCTTCCCGCGGAGCAGGGAGCCCGATGGCGGGGCTCAATCCCAGGACCCTGGGATCATGACCTGAGCTGAAGGCAGACACTTAACGACTGAGCCACCCAAGCACCCCGAGATCATCATTGTTAACGTGATAATGCTCAGCTTTCTCTTCCTTTTGGGCGCAGGAATGTGCAGGTCGTGCAGTATGGAATCATGTTGTCTGTTGAGTAATCTGCTTTTCAGTAAATTACCACTTAACTCACCATTCTTGTGATTTCAGCCCCAATTGTATGGCTATCAGAAATTACTCAGACCCCTCAGGGTGTTTCCCCAAGATTTTTCACTAATACCAACAGCTACAGTGAAAGTTTTTGTACCTGCTTCTGCATTCACATCCTGAATTATTTCTTAAATTATTATAATCTCAATGACTGAGTCAAAGGCCAGACATAATTTTTAAGACTTTTGATACATGTTATAATATCAGTTCATTTAATTGGCCTAGAATGTTTATTGAGTTTATGAATAAATCAGTGAGTGAGTGAACAGAAGCATTGTCTAATTACATTGCCACAAGTACTTAAGAACTATTTTCGATTAGGTCTTAAAACAGGATGATAGTTAGCAACAACAACTTATTTAAAAATAAAATTCATACAATATACCCCTAGAAGCAGTTCATCAACTTTCAGAGGCAGTTGGGGCAAACTCAGTGGTGATTAGGAATATTTCTTTTTTCTTTTTTTTTTTCAAAGATTTTATTTATTTATTTGTCAGAGAGAGAGAGAGAGCACAAGCAGGGGGAGTGGGAGAGGGAGAAGCAGGCCTCCCGCAGAGCAGGGAGCCCGATGCGGGGCTCGATCCCAGGACCCTGGGACCATGACCTGAGCAGAAGGCAGATGCTTAACGACTGAGCCACCCAGGCGCCCGTAGGAATATTTCTGCCTGTGACAGTTCTTACTTATCCTGACGACTTGATGTTGTGACGAGTGGAGGGGAATGGGGCAGGTGTGAAATTGGTCTCTTCAGTATGGTTATCTAGAAGGGCCTTCTTTGGCCCATCTGGAGGGCATTGAATTTATATTTTAAAGTGCTGACTACAGAAATCATTAAGAATGTCTTTCTCCAGTGATTTTAGAATTTCTAAGGCGCAATATTGTCTATTCATGTCTACCTTTCTTGCCTGTGGAGTCGTTCTGTTATGTTCTGCTAATCTGTTTTTCAACTCTTGTGTCATACTCCTCTTTTTAGCTCAGTTCAAACAAGTATATTTTGATTAGCAATTGAAGTGGGTCTTCTTTAGCTTGGCTTTTACTAAATACGTCAGTCATGGAAACATTTCAATTTTAGTAGAAGAGATTTTAACATAATAGCAAAATTACAATTTCTTGTCTGTATAGGACTTCGTAGTTACGAGTTTCAGATTCAAAAAAAGCACAGGTGAATTATGTTGAATACAGTTAGCAGTTAGCTGCTGGGTGACCTCTGGCAAGACGTTCAATCTTCTATTAGTTTTCTTTTACGTAAAATAAATAGCTGGTATCACAGAGTAGGTGATGAGTAAATGGAATCTGTTTTTATTCCTATATCCTCTTTTGCTCCCAAATGACGTACGGGTTGTTTTATGCCTGTTTTACAACTGAGGAAACTGAGGCACCTTGTATTTTAGTGATTTGTGTAGGGTCACTTTGCTAACCTGAGAGCTTATATACTTCTGTCTCCAAACGAATATTCTTTTCATTCGATACCACTTCCTATTTTCTCGTAATGCGTGGAGGTAGGGAATAGCCATCCTGTATCATGACGGTGAAGCTGTTCGCTAGATTCTGTGGGACTCTGACTCCGGTGCACGGCACGGGGTCGGCACTGAGTTGCCACAGAAATGAACGAAACGTAGTGTAGCTGGGCAGGTGGCTCAGTCTTCTCTTGCAGGCAGAAACTTGCGTAGCAAGAGCACAGCACTGGTGGTGTGTTCTTCGTGCGCTGGGCGTGGCCGTCTGGGTGCCCAGCAGTCCGTGTTGTTGCAGCGATTCGCGGAGATCGTAGGTGCAGAGCGGTTGGAAGCATTCCGTGAGATGGTAGTGACTGCTAGTCCGTGAGTGGTTTTACAGTGAGGAAACTGTGATATGTACGGGATTATCACTCACCTCCGTTTTCTGCTACATCCTGTAATCACGTTGCTTTTTGTTTTCATGTCTTTCACATACATCTTCCAGGACTGAAAGAGCTGTCCCCGCTCCCCCTGAATCTCAAACGGCTCTACAAAGAGACACTGGAAATTGAACCCATCTTGATAATTATCTCCCCGGGTGCCGACCCTTCTCAGGAACTTCAGGAGCTCGCCAACGCGGAGAGAAGTGGAGAGTGCTATCACCAGGTCAGCGCCCGTTACCTGCTCTTCCTGCCCTGCCTGATCCTGTTAGGGAAACATGTTTCATGGGGGTAGGCCAAGCAACGTCCCCCGAAGTGCCCAGGTCCTGCTCCCCGGAGCCTGTGAATTTGTTAGCTTCCGTGGCGGAACGTGTAGTTCCGTAAGTGTCTCCACATGGAGACATCTTGCATGAGTCAGGTGGGCCCAGGGTCATCCCAGGGTCCTCCCAAGGGGGAAGCTGGGGGGCCCGCGTGGAGGCACCGGTGTGCTGATGGCGCAGTGGCCAGAGCAGTGGGAGGCGCTGGGGTGCTGGCTTGGAAGGTGCCGGAAGGGACCGCAAGCGAAGAGAATGCGGCTGGCTTCTAGAAGCTGGAAAAACGAGAGGGAGATTCTCTCCTCGAGCCTCCAGGCAACACCCTTGTAGTAAAGCCAGACTCCTTGAAGTTAGATGGGGCCTCTAATCTCCAGAAATCTGGTAATAAATTTGTCTGGTTTTAAGGTACTAAATTGTGGTAATTTGTTATAGCGCTAATAGGACACTAATATATTTGCTAAGCTTTTGAGAATAATTTTTAAATTTTACGTGGATGCTTTTACAGTAAATCAGCAATATTTACATAAACTTGTGAGTAAAACTTAGGTAACAGAGGACCATTTTTTTCTGAGGTAAATTTAGGAGTTTACCTTGTTCAGGTTGCCTGCTTTGTGCAATTCAGTTTGCATGCTAGTCAGAATATGTATTTAATTTACTCTCAGTTTTTGACAACTGAATAAATAAACCGCTTTCATTATAATGATTAAGCAGCAAATGGAGAAGTCGGAATGTTGTGGGGAACCTGGACGGAAGGCAGCTAAGAGCAGGGAGTGGTTCTCGGGCGAGGGAATCTGATTCCACCCTAGGTAGGGTGTCCTGACGCCTTAGCAGGGCACCATCAGCAGTCAGTGAGGAGCCTGCATGAGGGGCCTTGTCTGCACCTTGTATCTGTTGGTATTGATTTTAGCTGCAGGGTAGAGCTATTTGCATCTGCAGTAGGTTTGGCTATTTAAACATGTAAAGTTTTGTGTACTGAATTTGCAAAATTGTTAAAGTAAAGCCTTTCGATATGGACATAATTATTCATGATTCTGTTATTTTAAAGTTTTGTTGCTGTGCTGAATGTATATGCTAAGGCTAATACATTCTTGATGCAAAAAATTAATTTTTTTAAAGATTTTATTTATTTGACACAGAGAGAGAGAGCGTGCATGAACAGGGTGAAGGGCAGAGGGAGGGGGAGAAGCAGGCTCCCCGCTGGGTAGGGAGCCCGATGTGGGACTCGATCCCAGGACCCTGGGATCATGACCTGAGCCGAAGGCAGACCTTTAACCAACTGAGCCACCAAGGCGCCCCCCCAAAAATTAAGTTTTAATGGCAGAAGTTGTGTAGATCTCAGAGGGGATGGGTGGCTAACCATCTTCTTGACATTTTCCTTTTTCCTGTTGTGCTTTTTAAAAAAAAAATTTATAGTAAATATTTTTTTCTGAGGTTTTATGAATCTTTAAGCTTTTTTCATATAATTGATGCTTTATGGGAAACGCTGAGTTGCCTATTTTTAGCTGTCATTTCCGTTGAGCAAAATACTTAACCTTTTCTCTAATTCTGTTGTACATGCCTATGCTTGCATTTTTTTTTTTTTTGTGGGATTTATTTTGCATTTTAATAATGGCAAACAAGTAGGTGCATCAAAACAATTCAACCACTTTGTTTCACCTCCTATTTGTTTCATTCAGGGTTAGACCTTGAAATTAAAAAAATCAAGGGGCACCTGGGTGGCTCAGTCGTTAAGCGTCTGCCCTTGGCTCAGGTCATGATCCCAGGGTCCTGGGATCGAGCCCCGCATCGGGCTCCCTGCTCGGCGGGAAGCCTGCTTCTCCCTCTCCCACTCCCCCTGCTTGTGTTCCCTCTCTTGCTGTGTCTCTCTCTGTCAAATAAATAAATAAAATCTTTTTAAAAAATCAATATGAGTATTTATTACCTGTGTTATTGCATGCTTTAGTATGCAATGAGTTAGACATGGTTCCCACTGTCAATAACTTTATAGTCTAATTGAAAAACAAAATCAATACTTGAAAAGTCAACTAAAAGGCAATGAAATGCTATGTTGTATTCATTATGGAGACAAATCACTGTGGTTTGCAGTAATCTATAACCGTAGTCTTGAAAGTGTTTTGACCGTGTACCCAATAAAAGCTGAGCCAGGAATCTCCATGTGTCTGTTCATAAATTATCTACATGCACACACCTTGGCTGTCCTGGTGCACAGGTATGCTGTAAGCTGGCCTGTACAAACAGGCTTAGGAGTCCAGACTGCACGTGGTCCGTGGGTGTAGCCACCTGGGACTCTGTACTAACACCTGCAGAATCTGACCGTGCAGTCTGAGCGCAGTCCGTCGTCTTGGCCTTCCAGCTCCGAACATGCTTGCAGGTTGTCTGCTCTACGAGGAGGACCGGGCCCCTCGCTGAGCGTCCTCAGTACAGGTGGACGACAGCACCTGGGAACATGGCCCTGGGATTCCAGTGAGCTCGGGACGCCCATGCCCGCTCTGTCTTTATTCTCTTCTTGGCCCTCAGCCCCCTCGGCCCCCTCTCTCTGAGCAGCCCTAGAGGAACAGTGGGCAGAGTGTAGAGTCCTCGCCCCGTGAGGATTTCCTGGATGACGGAAGCTAGGGAATCACACCATTACACAGTTAGACCTGTAGCTTGAGAGCCAGATACGTGCGTTGTTGGAAAAATCAGAAGTAAATTTCAAGGAAGTGGTAGTATTAATGATTAAACATTAATGATTAAACCCTCAAAGAATTCAAGACGACAGTTAAAAAAATTTCCTTTTTTTTTTAAGGGTCACATTTGAGAGGGTTAGAATTGCAGGAAATAGGGGAATGAGAAACAAAAATAAAACTATTCAATAATTCTTTATACTCTTCTGTAACTTGCAAAGCTATAATGATAATGTATTTTTAATAAACAGAAAGTATTAGAAATCTACTGATAAAGGGCAAAAACAAGACAACTGTTGGAAATGGCAACAGAGTTATTAAAAACTTAGAACTCTCATCAAAATAATTGAGTTCAGTATGTATGACAGGTTAATTTGACTCCCTCCTGTTACGTGTTATCGGATTTATTGTTTAGTATTGTTTTTCATTTTGTTTTTGCAGGTTGCTATGGGTCAGGGTCAAGCTGATTTAGCAATTCAGATGCTGAAAGAATGTGCCCGCAATGGGGACTGGCTGTGTTTGAAGAACTTACATCTGGTGGTGTCTTGGCTGCCAGTTCTGGAAAAGGTAGATTCAGATAAATGTGGTATAAATGGTATATTATGGTATACTATTATGTGGTATAAGAGCATATAATTTACAATTCTAAACATACACAAATATTTTTATAAAAGCCAATTCTTTTTCTTTTTAAATTTTTTTGGTTACTTTCACTCTGCATTTTACATTATAATAATGAATGTTAGTATCAGACATGGATTATATTTATTAAAGTAATTTTTAGATCTCATTCTTTTAGAACTCTTGACAGTTCTTCTGTCATTCATTCATTCCTTTATTCTACAAGCACTTGTTTAGTACAGAAAAAAACGAGCAGTTGCCCTAAGTGTGGGTTGCATACAAAATTTGTAACCTGCTCCGTGGGAAGGAACTTGGTTTAGAAGAGACAGGCCACTTTAATAACTATATTGTAGCATCATAAACACTATGGAAGAGAATTTACAAACTGCCATCAGTGATGAATTCTGCCTGGGACTATGGTAATGAAGAGTTGAAGAAGATATCCCCCTAAAACAGGGTGTTTAAATTGACAGATGAGTAAGAATTTGTCAGGTTCCAAAGAGAGTAACAGGTGGAAAGAATAATATTTGTAAAGACACAGACATAAAAATTTGAATAAGTGACCAACGCACACAGCTTGGGCAGAGGAATTCAGATGGTGAAGCTTTGAATTTATAGGCAATAGTGTACAACAAAAATTGCTAATAAAGGAACTGATGTCCTTAAAGAACTCTGTGAGGTATGGATCGAAGCAGTGAGAACCCAAAGTCCCGCACGTGGTTGCTAGTTGAGGCCTCTCAGTTGCTGCTAACGCTTACTTTGTACAGACTGTGCACTGGGCACCATGACGAGTGTCTTACAGGGTGTGTACTGTTACTGTCCTTGCTTAGAGCTGGTGTAAGTCCTAGACCCCAAAGTCATGGAGCAAATAAGCAACAGGAGGAAATGTATCAGAATGTCACAGAAGGATTTTAGAAAGAAATTTTACTTACTAATATATTTATAAAATGGAAATTAGTGTGTGTGTGTTTAAGTAGATTTTTCTTGTTGCTGTATTTGTACATAAGGAATTGAACACTCTGCAGCCTAAAGATACCTTTCGTCTGTGGCTCACTGCAGAAGTCCATCCCCACTTCACCCCTATCTTACTACAGTCAAGTCTGAAGATCACCTACGAGGTAAGGAGACTTCAACCCTGAGTCACTCGGCGTGAAGTGCCCTAGTCTCCATGCTCCTCCTAAAGCTCTGTAAAGAACTGTCGGTCGTACAAAACACACCAGAGTTTCCTTTATGACAGTCAGTTCAATGAGTAAGTGGGTGGAGGACCTGGACAGACATTTCTCCAGAGAAGACACACAGATGGCCAACAGACACATGAAAAGATGCTCAGCATCACTCCTCATCAGGGAAATGCAGATCAAAACCACAGTGAGATACCACACTGGTCAGAATGGCTAAAGCAAACTACACAAGCAACAGCAAGTGTCGGTGAGGACGTGGAGAGAGAGTGTCATGCTCCGCTGGGGGGGCTGTCCGCTGGTGCAGCCACCACCCTGGACGCAGTGTGGACGCTCCTCAGAAATTAAAAATACAGAACTACCCCGGGATCCAGTCGTTGCACTACCGGGTGTTTACCCAGAGAAAACAAAACACTAATTCAAAAAGACACATGCACCCCGACGTTATAGCAGCATGATCTACAGTAGCCAGTATCCCCAAGCCCCCTGGGTATCCATCAGTGATGAATGGGTGAAGAAGATGTGGTGCACGTACAGGGCAGCCTGCTGCTCAGCCATACAACAACACGAAGTCTTGCCACTTGCCACCACATGCATGACCTACAGGGTATTATGCCCAGTGAAATAAGTTAGACTGAGAAAGACAAATCCATGATGTCACTCGTAAGTGGAATGTAATACATGAATATACAAACAAAAAGCAAAATCGGACCTCTGGGTAGAGAACAGACTGGTGCCCCGGGGTGGCAGAGTGGGACGGGCAGAGCGGGTGGAGGGCGGTGAGGGAACGAAGGCTTCGGAGGCCTGGGAGGCACAGCCTGGGGAGCAGGGTCCGTGGTGGTGCAGGGACAGCTGGGGCTGCACCAAGGTGAGCGCAGCATCAGGTATAATGAACTCGTCCCTTCACTGTGTTGTACACCCAAAACTACTGTAACACTCTGTGTCAGCTAGACTCAGAAAAACCCCTTTTTGTTTCGGTGAGGTAAAATAAACCTAAATAAGCGCATAAGATGGTATTTATAAAAATACATCTAAATTTTCCTTTTATAAATTTTATTTCATTTTTTTGGTGTTATCAGTAAAAAACACAAAATTTACCATCGTAACCATTTTTTTTTTTTTTAAGATTTTTATTTATTTATTTGAGACAGAGAGAATGAGAGAGAGAGCACATGAGAGGGGGGAGGGTCAGAGGCAGAAGCAGGCTCCTCGCCGAGCAGGGAGCCCGATGCGGGACTCGATCCTGGGACTCCAGGATCACGACCTGAGCCGAAGGCAGTCGCTCAACCAACTGAGCCACCCAGGCGCCCACCATCGTAACCATTTTTATTTACATAGTTTGGTGGTGGTCATATGTACTTTGTTGTGCAGCACATCTCTAGACCTTTTCACATGTTGAGAAACTGCAATTCTGTCCATTGAGCAGTGACTCCCCATTTCCCTGTTCCTCCAACCCTGGCGATCTCTACTCTCTGTTTTCTAGGAGTTTGACTACCTTAGATACCTCCTATAAGTAGAATCATGTATTATTTGTCTTTTGGAGACTGGCTTATTTTACTCAAGAGAATGTCCTCAAGATAGGGATCCATGTCGTAGCATGGGACAGGATTTCTGTCTCTCTGAGGGCTGATAATATCCCATTGTGTCTGTACATCCTACGTTTTCCTTATCCATTCCTTGGTCCGTGGGCAGGTGGGGTTTCTGCCTCTTGACTGCTGTAAGTAACGCTGTGGTGAATGTGAGTGGGCAAGCACTCTATGAGATCCTGTGTTCAGCTGGAACTGCTGGATCAGAGGTAACCCCGTTTGTCATGTTTCGAGGAGCTCCACAGTGTTCATCCTTGCAGTGCTCCATTTTACATCCCCCCAGCGCTTGTTACTTCTGCGTGTGTTTATAGTAACCGTCCTAGCACTGCAAGCCTATAGCTCACCGTTGGTTGGCTTTGCGTTTCCTTGATAATTAGTGATGGTGAGAATTTTTTCTTAGGCTTCTTGCCCATTTGCATATTTTACTTAGAGAAGGGTCTCTTCAAGTCTTTTGCCCGTTTTGACTTGGAGTTGTCATTGAGTTGGAGGAGTCCCTCATGAGATGTGTAGCCAGCAGACACTGTCTTCCATGTTGTCGCTCTTCTCTGGGTGGATGGTTTCCCTGTTGCTCAGACATCTGTAAACTTGGATGGAGTCCCGTTTGTCTGTTCTTTGCTTTTGTTGCCTCTGCTCTGGTGTCCTCTCCAAAGAATCGTTGCCAGAGCCGATGTCACGGAGCCTCCTCCTGGGCCTCCTTCTGGTTTTATTGTTTCAGAGCCTTACATTTAGGTCTTGAGTGCCTTGTGAGTTAATTTTTACAAAAATATGGTGTCAGGTAAGGGTTCAGCTTTGTTCTTTGCAGGTGAGTATCTGGTGTTCTTAACTTGTTTTCTGGCACAGCTAAGTCAGATTCTCAGTGTCAGTTTCCTTGTTCCAGTCTCTTGTGCTTCAGACACATAATGTCCAAACCTGGTGTATCCAAAACTGTATGTGTTCACAGTGTTATTATGTAACTGGTCAAAGTCATAAATAAAATAGTTAACTTAATTAAAACTTTTTAAAACTGGTAAGAGAGGTTCTGCTTGTTTTTTTTTTCTGTTTGTAGAATTTTTTTTGTTATTTATAATCTTTGGAAGAAAAACGTCTTAATGTTTATAACTAACTACCTGTTGCTTTAGATCAGTATTTATTTTTTTTATCTGAAGGTGTTAGTCTCATTTAAGAAAGAAAAAAGATAAGGATTAATCAAGGAATGTGAAGTTGGTTTAATATTTGGAAATATGTTAATTGAAAGTCATTACAGTGTCTAATAAGAAAGAACAGTTCCAGAATCTTCCCAGCTGCTTTCCCAGTGCACTGTTTGACCATATATCCTAGAACTGGATTATAGGAGCCACAAGGGCAGGGGATATTTTTTCTCTTGAGTTTTGTACTTAAAATAACTGGCAGTTATGAAGAACACAGTAAATATTTCATCACATGAAGAGTTAATACATCAGGAGAACTGTTCCTTGAACATTTTTTTTTAAAGATTTTATTTATTCATTTGACAAAGAGAGACACAGCGAGAGAGGGAACACAAGCAGGGGGAGTGGGAGAGGGAGAAGCAGGCTTCCCGCAGAGCAGGGAGCCTGATGGGGGGCTCGATCCCAGGACCCCGGGATCATGACCTGAGCTGAAGGCAGACGCTTAACAACTGAGCCACCCAGGTGCCCCTCCTTGAACATTTTAACTTAATGTGCAGTCTTTTCCAGGATTTTTTTTCACGAGGTTATTTGATTACTTTTTTATGGAAGTTTTGTTTAATCTAAATTGGTGATTTTTTTCCTATTAAATCCATGTGGATAATTAACTATTTTAGAAAAGAGTGCAGTTAATTATATTCAAAATTATAAATATAGGGGCGCCTGGGTGGCTCAGTCAGTTAAGCGTCTGCCTTCAGCTCAGGTCATGATCCCGGGGTTCTGGGATCGAGTCCCGCATCCATCGGGCTCCTTACTCAGCAGCGAGCCTGCTTCTCCCTCTGCCTGCCACTCCCCCTGCTTGTGCTCTCTCTCTCTCTGTGTCTCTCTCGCTGTCTCTCAAATAAATAAAATTAAAAAAAAAAACCAAAATTACTATATATGTGCATATATGTACACACATGCATCTAGTAACTTTGAAGGTTTTAATTCTCTATTTTATTACTTTTTTTTGATTAGTTGACAGACTTTTAAAAAATTTACTCCAAATAACCAATGTCATACTTCATCATTTACTTTTATCTTAGTAATTCTTTCCACTGAATTTCCTGCTTTATTCTTTTTCTTCTAAAGTTGTCCTTAGATTTATATTTGCTTTTGTTTTTACTGATTTCTTCTGTTGAGTCCATTGACTTATATTTACTTGAAATAATACTAAAATTATTATTATGTCTGTGAATTTGCAGCTGAGAACGTGTTTGGCCTTATCCCATAGTTTGACATAGTAGTGTCTTCAATTTGTTTTTTTTTTTTTTTTTTTTTTTTAAAGATTTTATTTATTTGACAGAGCACAAGCAGAGGGAGAGAGAGGGAGAAGCAGGTTCCCTACTGAGCAAGGAGCCCGATATGGGACTCGATCCCAGGACCCTGGGATCATGACCTGGGCCGAAGGCAGCCGCTTAACCGACTGAGCCACCCAGGCGTCCCTTCAATTTGTTATTTTTCAAATACTCTTTATTTATGTACGACTCTCTCTGTAATTACATAGGATTTATTCATTTTGTGTAATCTTTATTGTCTTAAAAACTCCAAGTGGTTGTTCAGTTTCCTGTTAATTTCATGTTTTATTGAATAGTGCTCAGGAAATTTAGCCTATTCTGTCATTTTTTGTAAATGTTTCATAAACAAAAAATTTTCATTTTGAAAAGTATAAATTTGGATGTGTACTTAGTAAATTAGTGGTATTTTTTTTCTTCTAATCTTAAAGAAGTTTTTTTATTTGAGAAAAAACAGAATGGAAAGGATTGCAAAGGGAGTTCCCTGCAGCAGGCTTCTTAAGGTCCTGACTTCCATTAATTATGCTTTTTGTGTTAGAAACCATTTAGAGGAAAAATTTTACTTTTAGTGCAAGCTAATTAAAATAAGTTTGGCAGAGAAATGCACGTTAATTTTTTTTAAACTTAGAAGAATTTTTTTAAAACATTGTATTTATTAGAGAGAGGAGAACCAGGGGTGAAGGGTAGAGGGAGAGGGAGAAGCAGACTCCCCACTGAGCAGGGAGCCCAATGCAGCACTCGATCCCAGGACCCTGAGATCATGACCTGAACTGAAGGCAGACGCTTAACCCACTGAGCCACCCAGGCTCCCCAGCCTTAGAAAATTGTAAAGGAACCAATTATTAATATACAAATGCATTTGGTTTAAAAAAAAGGGGGGGGAAGAATTCTTTTTTTTTTTTTAAGAAATGGGTTTATTTTACTCTTTTTCTAAGAATTCAAAATTTGTCTTTTTCATTTGGAAAACTGAAAAATATAAACATTCTGGACATGTGGATGAATGTTTTTTGACTGAATACTAGTCTAATATACACTTTGAGTTTCTGGGTTTGAATTTGTGTTTATGAGCCTTGCAGTGTCAGCTGATACCCACTTCACCTCTGGTGGACTAATGTTCAAGAAACATTAGTTGTATTGTATGAAATAGTATTTGGGAAGGCCTCATGGAAATTCACATAGCACCTGGAGAGGGAGAACCTTCTATGAAAGTAAAAACCACATGCCCTGTAACAGTCTGTGTCAAATTCACTGTGTAAATGACAATTCAGTTTCAGTAAATTACCTCAATGATCATATAAAACTTACTTGGTTGTTTTGAATATTGTTGGCTTTACAGTTTTTTAATTTGAAATTTTTGAATTTATAATTGAGGGAACTGTTAGGTACAAGGAGTTTAAAACTAGTTTTAGGTACATACATTTTGAAGTAACATAATAGTAAGTTGAACTGGGTAATAGTGAAAACTTTATTAAAATAAATCCTTAAAAATGTTAAATATTAATTTCATTTGTAAGATTTGAAACAATAGGATGTCAATATTTTGTCTTCAGTCACCTCCAGGTTTGAAGAAGAATTTAATGCGTACTTACGAATCTTGGACTCCTGAGCAAATCAGCAAAAAAGATAACATACATCGAGCTCACACTCTCTTTAGTTTTGCATGGTTTCATGCTGCATGTCAAGAAAGAAGAAATTATATTCCACAGGTGAGTTAGAACATGTCTTGGACACACTGTAAGCTGTGCGTATTTTTGTATTAGTGTTTCTACAATTTAGTGTAAATGGCTAGGATTACTTAATTAATGGCTCATGATTCATAACTTTGTATCTCTAATTCTATCTTTGCTGTTCATCTTCTGGACTTGCAAGTAGTTACGTAGTTCACATCTCCGAATTACATTGTTTGGAACAATGCATGAGCCGTCCTAAACCCTCATTGTATTAGGTATCATTTTTGTGGTCACAGTCATCTCAGACTTCAAGACTGAATTCCCCATAG